CACTATGTGGATTCTTCCTAGTAGTGAGATTGTAGGGGATAAAGCTGAGCCTCATGAAACTAGAAATTATCTTGCAGCTACTATTATCTACCAAAATAGACCAAAGAACTGTGAATGCCACATTGATTCCTGATATATCATCCAAATCTTGTATTTAATCTATTTTCTCAAAACTCGACTACTACCACAAAGGTGGAGGATATGCATAATACCAATTTCCAGGGCTAACAAGCTAGATTATGTGAACTAATCATCCCACTGAAAACAACTAAAAATGCTGGATAAAATATATTTGTAACAGATCTTCTAGGCATCAAAGATGACAAACGAATAAGAAATTACCATTCTAAAACAGAAGAGAACTCAGAGAAATGAGTCAGCTCAAAATCTGCTTTTGCCCTGAAGGTATTTGCCTATCCCACCAAATCTGAACTTTCTATTGATAGCTTCATGGTACCAGGGTCCAAATATCAAAGCTAAGCACCCACCCAAAGTACAGATTCTAAAGAGAGACCTTCCCTACAATAAATTGGGACCCCAAAGAGCTATACTCTCCGGAAAACCAAGCCATGCAACAGAAAGGATCCCCTGCAGTTGAATTAAGGTGATCCTAAACCCACAGGAGCCCTGGTGGCACAGTGGTTAAGTGCTATGGCTGCTAACCAAAAAGGTCCACAGTTCGAATCCACCAGGTGTTCCTTGGAAACTCTATGGGGCAGTTCTGCTCTGTCCTGTAGGGTTGCTATGAGTCGAACTGACTCAATGGCAATGGGTTTGGTTTGGTTTTTGAAACCCACAGGAGCCCTGGTAGTGCAGTGGTTAAGCATTTGGCTGCTAACCAAGGGTTGCCTGCTAACCAAAAGCTCAGCAGTTCAAATCCACCAGCTGCTCCTTTGAAACTCTATGGGGCACTTCTACTCTATCCTTTAGGGGCACTATGAGTCGGAATCGACTTGACAACAACAGGCTTCATTTTGGTTTGGAAACCTACAGTAGTGGTGATTCAGTGGCAGAATTCTCATCTTCTATGTGGGAGAAGGGGTTCAATTACCAGCCAATGCACCTCGTGTACAGCCACCACCTCTCTGTCAGTGGAGGCTTGGGTGTTCCTACGGCTGAACAGGTTTCGGTGGAGCTTCCAGACTAAGATGAACTAGGAAGAAAAGCCTAGAGATCTACTTTCAAAAATCAGTGCCAATGAAAACTATATGGATCACAATGATCCAGTCAGCTGGCATTTCATTCCATTGTGCGTGGAGTCACCATAAGCAGGCGGCTGACTCAACAGCAGCTAACAATAAACCCATAGTACCCCCAGGTGCCTAGCAGAAACTATGGCAAATCCTCTCTGGAAGGTACCTTCATCCTAGACTTTAAATTATTCTAAACCATCCAGTGGGATTTTTCCACAGGTAGCGTACCAGTTTCACCCTCCCCATTGAAAATTTGCTACAAACTGCAGGATCATTTAGAAGTTACCAGACAGATTCACTACTGCATTCCTGCAGCTCTGGCCTTCGTTGTAACCTTTATACACACACAAAGATACACACAGAATTAATTATTTTGAGCAGCCTCTGTTATATTTGTCACACTAATAAAGTTAATCAAGAACCCGATCCCGTCTCTCCTCTCTGCCTTTTGACTGTATGTGAGTCACAGTGACGCCTTTTCACAGCTGCTGTTGGGGGAGATAGCCTGCACTCATTCCCCTTAGAATCTGAGCATGATGTGGTATTCAGTGGATATAGTGGTGTCTTAGTTATCTAGTGCTGCTATAACAGAAATACCACAAGTGGATGGCTTTAACAAACAGGAATTTATTCTCTCAAAGTCTAGGAGGCTAGAAGCCTGAATTCAGGGTGCCAGCTCCAGGGGAAGGCTTTCTGTCTCTGTCAGCTCTGGAGGAAGGTCCTTGTCATCAATCTTCCCCTGGCCTAGGAGCTTCTCAGCGAAGGTACCCTGGGTCCAAAGCACACGCTCTGCTCCTGGCACTACTTTCTTGGTGGTATGAGGTCCCCCATCCTCTGTGCTCTCTGCCCTCTTTTGTATCTCCAAAGAGATTGACTCAAGATACAATCTAATCTTGTAGATTGAATCCTGCCTCATTAACATAATGGCCTCTAATCCTGCCTCGTTAACATCATAGAGGATTTACAACACATAGGAAAAATCACATCAGATGACAAAATGGTGGACAATCACACAATACTGGGAATCTTGGCCTAGCCAAGTTGACACACATTCTGGGGGGACATAATTCAATCCATAACAGACCATGATGGGACCTCTGATACCTATTATCCAAACCTTATATGCTGGTATTCCTTTAACAAGGCACTTTACAATAGAAACAGTACAAAAAAAATTCCATTCCAGGCTTTTCTAGCATCATGACAAGGAGGAAGAGAAAGTAATTCCTATTGTTTCATACATTACATAAACTTAGTGTTAAGAGAGAGGAATGCTGTTGCAGGAAAGCACAATCTTTGAGAAACGGCTCAACTTAATAAAAACAGGGTCCATTATGAGACGCCTGGATGCAAGTCCAGTCTGTTCTACCAACGAGCTGCATGACCTTGAAAAAGAAACTTGACCACTAAAAGGTCTTAGTTTCCTCTTCTATAAAATGACACTGGAGGTTCGGATAAATTCTGTGGCCACTTCTACATCCAGAATCAATGATGTTTATGCTTCTGCAGACTTCTCAGTGGAGGCATATCCTGACAGAAGTTCAATTAATTTTAAAGGCCACAAGTGATTCACCCACGTAAATCATGATTCAAGAGAACACAGAGAGGCAGAAGACTTTATCCACCAAAAGGCACAACAGCTTGTTTTGGCTTTTACAGTGTCTGTTTTTTAGAAAACCGTGTGCAAGGTTTCAAAGAGATGCCAGTAATAACTTCAAATTCTAATAGGATAAAATTTATGCATAATTTTCTATGACCCCTTCAACTACTGACGTTCCTGCCATGTTATTGTTAGCGTTGCATGTTAAGCTAGCAAATTTTCAATGAACTCTCACTGGCTTTGCCGCAGACACAGATGTTAGGCGGACTCCTTTGTTCATAAGGTTCTCATTATTAACTCAAACTGAGTTGAATATTTGACTGAAAGAAAGGACCATATCATTATTTTCAGATTTCATTCTATGACTTAACTGGGCTACATCTGCCAGCTTCAGAAACACCAAGAACTTCTTGGCGCCAGCCTTGGCGTCCTCTTCTATGACTACTACCCTAAATGCTTCGGCTTGAGGAAGTCTCCTCACCATCAAAACAATTTAATAAAAACTTAAATTGTGATTAAGAGTTACTCATCAATTGACAGGGCATATCAAGCTTGTGCTATTTATGAATTATTCCACATAATATTTTAATCCTAACAAATAGAATCCACATTCATAACAGGGTAAGCCAGAAAACCAGCTAAATGTTTTCATGATTTATAAGGTCTGTGTTATACTTGGAACCATATTTCTGTAATAGGTAAACTGGCATTCCTTTGGATAATTTAATCTGCTTTAAATCTATTCTAAGGCTCTGGGCAGCTTCAGGGACATAGTGAATATAAATTTAATTCCTCTATTCACCTTTAGGCAGTATCTCGTAACATAAATGTGATAGGAGGATATGCTATAGGAATGCCTGCCAGTTGTAGGGTAGATTCACTTATTAAAATATTGACACTAAAGCCATTAAGAAATTGTTAAATATCACCCTAAATCCAAACACAGAAAATATTTTATAAGCCTGGCTAAAGACATAAGTTAAAACAACAACACAAAAGAAATACAAAAAGGTCATAATATTACTGCTTTCATGTGTCTGGATTACCAGTAATAACATGAAGTGGGTAAGGATAACGTGAAATCATCTTTGATGGTTATTAGAAAAAATAATTTTTCCATCTGTAGAAAAGCCAAAGGGTTTATATTACAGTTGTCTCAAATAATTAGAAGAGGGGCTGTTTTTCCCTTCTAAAAAGTTATATGTAATGAATTTGCTTAATGACTATTTCAGCACCTCATAATATCTTGGAATCAGGGCTTCCAACTGGTTTGTTCTGGTTCAAACCCCTGATGAGAAACTGCATTTCTAACAAGTTCCCAGGTGATGCTAACAGAGCAGTGGTTCTCAAAATTTATTATACATAAGAATCACCTAGGGATCTTGTTAAACTGTAGATTCTGATTCAGTATATCTGGAGTGGAAATTCAAACTCTCCATAGGGGTTCACCGAGAACTAACTAGTCTGAAGCCCTGCTTGGAACAGGAGAACTTACAGGGATACCCCACTTCCTGTTCAATGCAATAGCCCTTTAAGAACACTGATTTTTTGTGACAAATGATCATTCAATCTCTTGAAAAGTTTTTTATTTCTCCAGTTTACTATTTGACGTCTCTGATCATAAGAACATTCTTAAAATAACAATTGAAACATGCTTTCCTATAACTCCCCACACCAATTGAAGCTGATCTGATAGAAAATTTTAGATTCACTTCCTCTTCATCGTGTTAGCTCATCAAATACATTCAAGTCACAACATATTTTTCTCTCCTGTGAACTATTTTCTCCAGGTATTTTCAATGAGTCTCACGTAACATGATTAGAAGACACATGATATCCAGCTCTCACTAGTGTTTACCACTTACTCTTTAAATGTGGCATCCGGAAGTAATAATTCAGACGTGGTCTCACTAACATAGAGCACAGTGGGCCGAGTACTTCTTATGATATAAAAATCAAATATTTATTAACACTGCCTATATATGTCCAATGAGAATAAGGCACTTAAGAAGGTAGAGAAATAACAGAACTTTCAAAGTAATAGTAACTTTTCCAGCCACAATCATAGGTGAAAGATTAGAAGCACTTACAGGAAATATACTAAAACATACAGAAACTCTAAGTTTGAGATAATGTTACCACCAAACATCACATCCTGTAGTCCAAATTCTAGTATTCAAAAACTGAATTTTTATTTTTGTACTTACCATGTTGTATGTCTTTCATATCTAAATGAAGACTAGACATCAATATTCCAACTGCTTGTGATCTTTTGTTGCTTAGTAACTTGACAACCTGCTCGTGAAAAGAAAAGGGGGAAATAGTTTAAATTCCAGTGATATGTTTAACTACATGTTTTTTTAAATACTAAATGAAGAGCAAATCGATAGAAAAACTTTGTTTCATTATTTACACTATTAGAAACAGATTTTTTTTAATGAAACAAAGCTTTTTCATTTTATATCACGAATCTTCAAAATCTACCACTCGTCCCCCTCGTATTCACTCATAAGGAGCCTCAAAGTCATGCTCATTATTAGTGCTTCAACAGCCTGATCAATCAGCAAGTAAAATTTCTAATAGTTTAGGAAATTAGTCTGGTCTCTGTAAAATAAGCAATTACAAACTGATAATTGGGAACCTAAGATTTAAAAAGTTTTTGTTTTTTTTTTTTTTTTTAATGCAAACCCTTGAATTGCTGGTCAGCAAGTGAAGGGTAAAATAAAAGTATGCACATAGAGAATCTGTTAGATAAGATCAGTTTTACCACAAAATGTGCTTTTTTTTTGGATCTTTTAGAAAGCTCACCATTTTACTGGCAGTTCCCCTCATTCTGCACTTGGCCCACATTCTGTGGAGAACTTTCCAAGTAACACAGGGCTACAAGCACAAAATCCAACAAGGGCTGCATCAGCTCTATCTCAAATCTGCTCTCCAGAGAGTCCTGAAGAGTCAGTCCACACAACCCCACGAGAAGGTTTCCTAAAACAGTAGTAGGCACACTGCTATAGAAGAGACGTGTTTAAAATATGTTTTGCAGACTGTAACGCACCACCAATAAATCCCGCTCATGAAACTATCATCCCAGGTCCTGATCATGTGAAAGGCAGCAAATTCTATTTACTTTCAGTGTTTTGTTTTAACTCTGCTTAGACAAACACTGGAGGAAAAGGAAAGAAACAGTTATGGTCAAATTACCAGAAGGGACAGCTGCCTTCGCAGCGATCACAAGTGTTGACCATTGTCTTCCTTTTGGTTTAAGTTGGGTCAATCAGGAAACTAATAAAATAATCTCGCCCAGCTGTCACACAGCGACACAGAGTAAAACAATATTCGTAATAGTAATACTAGCATTCCTGGTTCACCCGCAGGAATGGGGTTGGGGAACAAAACAAAACACTATCAGAAAGACCAACCACAAAGGGCTCCACAGCCATTTGTGAAAACCTCTCGCGGTAAAGCAACAATACCTCACAAGAGGCCGAGCTTTCTCAAAGATTCCTGCTTATGTTGGAAAAAACCTACATATAAATTTTTATTCTAAATTGGCTTTTTGAATGCTTTATTAAATTTCACCTAGAAAATTTAGCTTAAATCTTGAAAACCTGTACACGAGTATTTCTATAAATAGCATTATCCCCCTCAGAGATGAAATATATATATATAACAACATAAAAGTAGAGGCCATGCACCCTTTCCTAAAAAAAAAGTTCCTAAACTCAGATAAATACAATCTGGATCCCATTCATGCTACTCTGCTGAAATTGCTTTTACTAAAGTTCCCTATGATCTCTGGCGCCTAAATCCAAGGGGTACATTGGCACCCATACGTCATTTGACCTTCCTGAGGTGTTTGCCATGCCCATCACTCCCTTAGAGAAACTCTCTACTCCAGGGCTCCAGCCAGTCCTTTTTGAAGCTTAGATTTATTATGATTTCACTTTAAATACTAGTATATCCCAGACTTCTGTTCTCAGTATCTTACTCTCTTCACTCTATGACCTCTGATTTCTTTTCTTCTACAGATGTACATACCCACGCTGTGTTCTTATAACTGTGTATTTAACTTGGCAGTATTCAACTTTCCTAACAGATATCACCACTTAAATTACCCACCTAAATCTCCACTTGACATGTCAAAAACCAAACATTATAATTTCTCCCCAAAACCTCCAGTCAGCTTCTCATTTAGTCCATACGTTGTGATAATGCTACTACCGTCCCCCATCCACCTGTCAAAGTTATACATCTAGAGATCAATCTAGACTCCTACTCCTCCATCACCTGCTTACTCAGGTCTGTTAGCAACAGGGCTTCTAATCCGTTCAGTTCAAACCCCTGCTGAGAATTTGCATTTCTAACAAGTTTCCAGGTGATGTTAATGCTGCTGGTTAGGGACCAATTCTGAGAACCACTAGTAGAGCAGTAGTTCTCAAATTTTATTGTACATAAGAATCACCTGGGGATCTTGTTAAACTGTAGACTAATTCAGTATATCTGGGGTGGAAATGCAAATTCTCAGCAGGGGGCTGAACCAGAACGAACTGGTTAGAAGCCCTGGTTAGCAAGTCCTGTCAATTGTGACTCCTCTATATCTTTGCAATCCAAACCTCCCCCCAACACTATTGTCATTATTTAGTTCTCTGTTACATACTGCATATGTCAGTGCAATAGATTCCTAACTGGCCTCCCAAAATCGAATCCAGTGATTCTCAAAGTGTGTTCCCCAGACCAGCAGTCATCATCATCATCATCATCACCTGCGAACTTATTAAAAATAGAAATTCTCAGGCTCTACCACAAACCTACTAATCGAATATCTGAGGGTAGGAAGCATCAATCTGTATTTTAAAACAAAACCCTCCAGGTGATTCTAGAACACGGATGAGCCTTATCCCTTCTTATCCATTCTCCAAATTCATGTCAAAACAGCCTCTAAAAATGACGATAGCATGCCACCCCCATGCTTTTTAAAACCGAGTGGCTCATATTTAAAGGTTAGTCTTCTAAAAGTTCATACAGCTCATTCCTAAAACTTGCTTTCTCTATTATAATCGAAATGCACTTGACTACCAACTGTATTTTACATTTAAATCCCTAGGATTATAGGCAAGAATGATAATTGTTCATCATCCTTCCAGAAGACATGCATTCAGGAGAGGACAGGTGTCTAAAGAATGGACTCTACAGTTCCCTAGAGTAGCTCCTTTGTGGTATGAAACGCAGTCATTATTCGTCGTTTTTTTCAACATCCTGGGTAACAAGAGCATGAAGCTATCAAACTAGAACATTCTTAGAATTAAGTGACCACAATGGAAAGGAAAAGAGAAGGCTGTTCTAAATAACGTCAGAACACTTGGCTGAAAAGAGAAAAATGCAGAATTACCAATTTGACATTTACAGAATTAGAACATATAACTAGAAAAAAGGGTTATTTTGAATCTACTGAAAGTCACATCAGATTCTGCGAATTCTCTTAATGAAGTTACCTTAGACTTCCCAGGGAGGCAGGACTATATAGGGCCCATGAACATGGACTCTGTAGAATAAAGCATACTTTCTCAAACTTTAAGGGCATACGGATCATGTGGGATCATTTTAAATTGCAGATGCTGGTTCCTAGGTCTGGGGAGGGGCTGAGGTTCTTCATTTCTAACCAGCTTCCAGGTGATGCAAGTGCTTCTGCTTCGCAGATCACAGCGGTCTACAGTGCTGCTACTTGGGCTCTGTGTATCCTGGAAGTTACTCACTCTAAAGCCTCAGTATCCTCATCTCAGAACTGATAATAACAGCATTAACTTCAAACAGCTGTAGTAGATATTCAGACTGATACACAATGTGCCTAGCCATATACTGCATTTTTGTGCAAATAATGCACACCTTCTGCATGTTTGCTGGCTGTACCCTCTCCCTGCAAGCTATTTTCAGAAGCACGCTATGCTAATTTTTTTTACAGCAACATGTGGAAGAGGACTGACATGGTGGTGCTTGTGAGGGGGACTCGCAGGGGAAGGGCGCAGCTGGCAAACAAACACAGAAAGCATGCATTATTTGCGTAAAAATACGTAGCGTGTTTACTGCAATAAATGAGTTGTAAGAAGTTAAATACTTAGGAAAGCATTTTAAATGTCTTGTCAAAAATAAAATGTTTGACAACTTTAGTCATAAATTGATTCACTCAGGCCATTGAGATATAAACTCATATATTACTAAGGAAGAAAACTGATAAATGAATTACTGAGTTTAAGATCTACAAAAGAATTAGCGATTTACTGACCCTTCCTTCCCCGTGTAATTTCCTAAACAATTCAGACCCTCATTAGCTCAGAGTAGTTTTCTAGTTGTCACAAATGATTTCTCCATTTAAATTCCCTTCCTTGGATTTCCACAGGACCAATGACATATCTGCTTCGACCAGGTGCCATATGTGGCCATGGACAAGAACAAAACCAAGATGTCTTTAAATGTGGTCCAAATTGCTGGTTGCACCAAACCAAAAACCAAACCCATTGCCTTTGAGTCGATTCCGACTCATAGCGACCCTACAGGACAGAGCAGAACTGCCCCATGGGTGTGCTATAATCTGTCTTCCTAGCTAGCAATGGACATAATAGCTACTAATGGGCCCAAAGTAAAGCATGTGCCTTAGGGGAAAATGACTGCTCTCTGAAGAAACCCAGAACTCTGCTAAGCTACCTTAGTGGGGGAAGGGGGAAGGGATGCTCCTGATGCCAATAAATCTAGACTAGCCATCAGGAGTTTGTCACTCACCCTGAACAGGGGCAATGAATAATATCCATTGCCTGTAAGGGGCCTTCCACTTTTATTACCCCTTTTACCTTTTAATACTTCTTTCCTCTGCTTGGAGCCCTGGTGGTGCAGTGGTTAAGAGCTTGGCTGCTAACCAAAAGGCTGGCAGTTCAAATCCACCAGCCACTCATTGGAAACCCTATGGGGCAGTTCTACTCTGTCCTATAAGTTCACTATGAGTCGGAATACGACTTGACAGCAATGGTTTTGGTTTTGATTTTGGAATTAACATTAACTAATTTTTAGTCTGAATGTTGCAGAAGGATTGCAGCATCAAGACGATATGTCCTTAGTCTATCCACTGTCTATATTTTTCATTTCTTCATTTAATTTGTCAACTAAGCAAGTACCGGTAACCCATGGTAGAAGTATGATGATAGAAGCAGCATGGATAACAGTGATATATTCACACAGATTTAGTTGTATATAGGCCATTAAATATTAATTTATTTTTCTGCTTTACTCTGCACCCCCATTAACTGGCT